CAGTTATCACCAAGGATTTTCTGTAAAAATGAGTGCAAAAGAAAAAAAATAATATCAGTGATCAGTGCAAATTTTGATCAAACTTTCTTCTATATTACCTTCCTTATGAGAGATCAAGATTCAAATATATACTCTAAGCTATCAGTTATATTCTATAACAAGTGACATATAGCACATGGAGCAATGTTATTGAATGCGAAGAAGATAAGAAGCAAGAAATGCTATCAGAAAATTAATGTATAATTAATATTATTAATAAACAAAGTTACTAATGCATGCATAATTATCTTCTAATATCCAAAAAGCAAATACTTGTAAAAATAGAGGTTTGTTATTAAAAACACTACTTTACTATATACAGTATAAGAATTTTATTAACATTTTACTTATTTGAAATATGAAATTTATAAATAGTACGCTTTTTATCCATTCACTTTGTCTAATACTACAGTGTTTAATTTTTATTAGCTAACTGGAAATGAAATTTGGAAATTAATTTAAATTAAAAAATCTAATACTGTACACTGCGCTTAAAATTAAAATATATAAACAATTGCAATAAATTGTTAGTTACATAATTTGTATAATTATTTTCATATTATTTACAAATAAATAATATATATGATAAAAAGAGTACAGCAACATACAATGATCATAAATTTCTTCAACAAGGATGAAACATGAACCACGACATGGTACAGTGCCGATAGCAGAATCAGGTTTCCAGCAGTGATCAGTAAAATTCTTAGGTGGAAAGTAATAATGCATAAGCTGATTCCATAAATTCAAATATGCAATAGATGCACAACTGAAGCACGTAGAAGGGCTACGATTGTGAATGTGTGCTAAAGAAAAAGATGAAGAAGAAGCTGATAATGAAGTTGATCCCAGTGATATAGTGATAATAACAAGCTGATATGCAACAGCAATTGAATACCAATTCAGTACAGAACTACTAGCATTAATGATGTTGCTCATCACACATTTCTAACTTGAATCCATTTATTGATCCAGCAATGATCATTATTATCAAGCAATAATTATCTATCGTGCCAATGTTAATGATAGCGATGGTACATTTGATCTATTAATCATGACATTTTCAATCCTAACTTCGTTCTTCATTGAATAAGCTGTAAAAAAGTGGATCAAATAAATCATTTACAGGCAATTTTTTCACCACTTGCAACTTCGCTGCATTATAAGTTTTAATAAAAAGCATTGGAAGCAAAAAAAAGCAAACGTGTGAGATTGATTTCAAGCACAGAAATTTAAAAAATGCATACATATATATGTACATAAGCAAATAAATAAATAGTATGGAAATTGAATCTTTTTTCTTTTTCAATAAGCTGCAGGCAAAATAAATCCTTCAGTGTAATGATGCTTCTTCTATGATCTGCTAGTAAGAGAAAAGTAATGATAATAATTAACGCATGAATAAAATCAAGTAAAAGTAACTTATAAATAATACAACAAAAGACTTAAAAGGCCAAGTAAAGCTTACTTAGTAACTTTCTACACCTCCAACTAAAATATAATAGTCTTAGGTGCCATTTTAAGGCTTCTAGTCGAACCACGCCTTCTTTTAGAATCAGCTCACACAACCAGTTTATACTACATCTGTGTCATTCCACCAATAAAATTTGCCGTCAAAATTTAATTTTCAGTTCTCAAAATAAATTCATTAAAAGATATCGGTGATAATTTTCTGACCTAGTTTTTAAAGCTATACTACAAACTATTAACAATACTATAAAATAAACACTCAACTTGAATACCATTCGTTTTTACTGCATAATTTTTCCCTTCATAAACGTACACTCACGTACCACACGTTACTTCCATGTCTTTATATGCCCTTTGAAATAAACCAAGTAAAAAATGCCTTATTTCAATTCAAAAATAACAGTTACTTGAGTCCTTCCAGCACAGATGGTTGCAACAACGTTCTTTCATTAGTTACTTTAAATAAGCACTTACTCCTTGTCAGATTCTTTCCTTCTGTCTTATTAAAAGTTATGCTACTACTCTGCAGTTTCTTTCCCAACTTTTTCAATAAAACTACTTTACATTGACTTTGTCAGTTCCCTCGCATTTAACTCTGACAGCTTAAGTAATGTTTGAATGCATCAGCTTGCATATCATTATGATAAAATATCATTTCTAGAGCACATAAATAATATAATAGCAACTGTACTGCAGAAAAGTCATAAATATCTTGACTTTATTTAATTTGTAGCATGTCTTACTTAATATTTTAGCTAATAAATCCGACTTCTGCATAAGCACAGCTAAAGTAAACAATCTCTCGTGGGAACACTCCATAATAAATGTTTCTTAAAACTGCTTCCTTTTAACTATCAAAAGAAAAACGAAAGGATAGCTTAATAATTTAAATAAATCAAATGTAAATAATTCAAGCAAAAACTTGCATGAAGATTTCTGCATTAAAAAAATAGATGAAAAGTAGGCAAAACTATTACAACAAGTGCATTTCAATTCTCAATACTACTACTACATGCATACATGCATACTTTCAGTTTCCAAAATATGCTTTAATAAAGCATTGCTTACAACATCAAAATAATCAAAAGAACTAACACTACGTAATCAGAAGATAAAAGCAACTAGAAAGCATTTAATAATTAGTACATTATAAATTGTGGGATGCAAAAAAAAGAAAAAAGCTAACAAGTATTGAGGAAGTTGAAAATCTGATACTTATAGTTTAAGAATTAATTCGCAGAGAACAAACGAGACCAAATATAATCACTAATGATCAATTCATAATGCCAACATTTATCATGAGAAGTAATCTTGTTATTCTCATCAACAAATGCCCAAAAAAAAGGAAAGATTCTGTGGTTGAATTTTTGGTTCAATTAATAATAGACAAAATAAGTAGAGAGATGTTAATGAATTCAGAACATGACAACCAATTACACGCACAGATCTATTATTAGAGTGGAGACGAATGATAATGAACAACAAACATATATATACTAAGTACCTGAGAGCAAGAAGTAAAGCGATTTTCATGATTCAATGAGAGTATCTTAGTAAACGTAAATGAAAGATTGGTAATTATAAGAAGATTAGTAAGTGTATTTATGACGCTGACTTCTGCCATATACAATGTAATGCTTGTAAGAATAGATAAGAATTCATTTCGTTTGCTAACACTCTGAAGCTTTAGTTCTTGTGTTTCTTCTTAATCAATTTATAGTGAAACTTGAAAAAATGTACTCACTTCTGAAAACGCACAATTGCGTGTAAAAGGACACTTCAGAAGAGTGTTAAGAAACAAATTAACTGAAGAATACATGAAAAGAGAAAGTCTTAGCAGATAGAATACAGGAAATGAATGATGCAATTAATGGCTAAATTTCTTTGTAAACAGATGATAAAAACAACATATGAGTAACTCAAACATAAAAATAGACTAAAGAGCTAACATAACACTACACAAGTTTAACATTAACACGAACATTCTACTCGTTTTGTATGGATATATCAAAACATATTACACAATGAGCACACTAAGCAGAAAATAAAGAATGACTAAGCATTATTTGAATCAGTACATTTACGCTTTGATTCCACTTGTCTTATGATTTCTTCTGTAAAGTTATCTTTTGCTTTTTTTAATACATTAAAGACAATAATTTGTGCTTCTTCAGAATCATTTCTTATTTCATCATTAGTAGCATCTTCTGCTTCCAGTGGCACATCATAGCCAGAAGCAATTAAAGCTTTTCGAAATTTTTGTGAACAAATTCGTAAGTATGGGTTGATCTTGTATTCATCTGCAAGGGTAACGCCGACCTAAAAAGCATCTGTCATTTGATTTGCATACATTAATTAAATTAAGGACGAAAAAAATCATGTGAAAACATTTCCAAATCATTCAAGCTCTAAAAGTTAAATAGCTTAAACGCATCTGCACATCCATTTCAGAGAAAGTAATACATTTATTTCCAATGTTCTTTGCATCCTAAAGGAATTACTCATAATAGCTTCGCATTAAAAATTCTTTTGTGATGCACTGAAATAGAAAAGATCTTTAATAAATTTAACAAAAAATAATGAATGAATAAAGCTAGCTCTCCCTTCAATAAGCGGATAACTACTGACGAGCAATGTCACAGTAAAAAGAAAAAAATTATCATCACAATATTCAT